GATTTTTGTGTGCAGATTATATGGACTCCATACGCAGAGATTGATTTGCCAGATCATATTCAGGAGATGAGTGATTGTTGGAGAACAATCACACCAATGATATGTTTTCAGATTGTGGAGTACCATCAACCTGATCGTGTTATGAGACAATTTGGGATAAGTCGGCATATACCTTAGCAATATTTACAGCCAGAGGAGGTGCACCACCTGACATTGAGGGGAAAGACCGAGGTGCCCTGGCCTCATCAAATGTAGCAGTTCATACAACGATGGACTCAGAGAGATGATTCAATTCAGAATGCTCCACCTCATCCACGCGACCGCATATTAGGGCCTAACTCAGATTACATGGTATGGTATAGAGGAATCACTAGACGATGGATCACCATGAAGGCATGTCACTCTGGTTTATTGGTGAGTTGAGAGATGTTACTTATTAGATTTATTATTGCCTTATTAGAAACATTTCAATCATTAGATCGTGTTATCCCTTTGTTCATGCAAACGAATCACCTTCAACGTGTTCATTACATATTGCAGACACATAAGCCAAACGATCAGATTCAGATAGTTGTTGAGCATATGCTCAACATGCAGGCATAATATGATCGAGTATCATATCCTGGTGATCCAGCATCTGCACCTACGCAGTTATGGTCACAACCCATTGTGGTTGGTGATCAGATACCTCACACTTGGAAGGAAAGGCAGGGGCTAGCACTTCATAGACCTCAAATTGATCATGCTACATGGGAGTTACCCTGTCTTCCTCCTAGGGGTCATGGTATGTTCTACGCTGAAGCTGCGGTACCGTCACAAGCTTACTTTTATCCTGACAATACATATACATCGGATCAGGAGCCACCTTCTTATCATGAGTCACCTTCCTACCATCAGCCACCTTCTTATCATCAGTCACTAGTCGAGCATCATTCACCACCACATCATTCACCAGTCCCGCATTATTCACCAACACATCATCATTCCCCATCAATACTATCTGCTACAGATGATTATCGGCCTGAGTTTTCTCACGATGAAACATATCACTAGAGTCGTCTAGATCACCGTCCAAAATGTACGGAAGTCGATCAATCCTGTAAAATGAACCTCGAGCAAACGACAACATGTACTTTAACCATCTTTCCAGATAAGCATATGAATCTTCCCAATCAGCAAACAACTTAACTATGGCTTTTTGTTTGCCCTTCCAAGCTTTTCGATAGGACACTTTATAACCATTAAGTCCAGAAATTCTCTCCTGAATAAGTGCAATGCTAATTGACGGATCCACCTGAACCATGCCTGATAAAAAAATTATGGAATACAACCGTTAAGTAAAAGTACATTATACCTTCAACATTTTTCTTAGATAAAGACATATATTTTTCGTAGTCATACCTTGAATACATGAACAAATGAAGTTAGAATCGAGTTGTCTGTGATCCTGCGAAAGATAAGGGTTCACACAAGTGTGTTTGCCTCCCCATCTAGTAAAAATCCACTGATCTCACCATCTTGGTAACATTGCTCGCACCCTCCAAGGACATCCTTCAGCATGATTAACACATTTCATGAGAAGCTTATTTTTTTTGCTTTCCTCCACTGCAGCAGTGTGATAAATCTTCATACAATAACATTTGATTGCCTTCTGTACCGCTTCCTTACTTTCAAATTCTTGATTAACATATAATTCATCCCCCAATTGCCAAGAACCATCATTCCCCCCATCAACAATCAGTATAATGTGGACTCGCATTCTAGAATGGAGTATTAGTTTGACCTACACATACTAACACTCTATCACATTCAAGAAACACATGATATAACATGTAAAATACAATAATTAGAAGGTTAATTAACTAACCAGTCGGGACGACATTTTCGACATTATTGGTGTCCACATCACAATCAGAGTCACTACTCTCAAGAGGAACTTCTTCATTTACATCGTCATCAGAGTCACTACCTTCGGGAGGAACTTCTACATATACATCTTCATCAGAGGCACCCAAATTAACATCCACGTTAGCTGGACCGTCTTCCTATTCCACAACTGTATTCTGCCAGTGATGTGATGGAGCATTAGAATGTGGCAAATTTAGATCCAATGACTCAACCGGCAATGAAGAACTGCTTGCACAAGCAATGTCGGCATACAATTCAAGCATCGTCATTGCAGACTTTTGTTGAAGAGACTGTTGTAGAAACAAATTGAACATCATATCAACATCATCATCATCATCAACAATTTCTAGCACAACAAATTTTTCTATTGTACGATATCGGCTGGTTAATCGAGACACTGATTGATTGGGACTGAGCTTCAATTTCTCTGCAATCTTTGTTTTTAAATCATGCAATCTCAACCCATACTGTATTTGTATTCCTTTGATTTGCCCCTCAAATGTCCATCCTGTAACACCTTCATGTATTTTACCATTGTAATATATGATTGCATATATTGACCCCACATCTAGAAGAAAACAGTAAAATATTACGCAATAACATGATGTTTTATGAAAATTAGAAATGGGACAAATCAAAGAATTTATTATAAATAACATTATTAAAATACTGAACGTTATACATGCCTATGTTAGGATATCACAATATATTTTATTCTGTCAAATATCTAAATATAATTAATTAGACATGAACATAAAAATATATTTTATTATGTAAAATCTCTATATATTAATTATACATGCCTATGTTAAGATATCACAATAGAATTAATTTAAAATTAATACAACTATTACTAATTAAAACAAACCCTAAATATTAATAACAAATTAATTATTCTAAATTATATTATTAAAATACTAAACACAACTCATCAATGACTAATTATTATGTGAAATATCTAAATATAATTAATTACACATGAACATAAAAATATATTTTATTATGTAAAATCTCTATATATTAATTATACATGCCTATGTTAAGATATAACAAAAGAATTAACTTAAAATTAATATAACTATTACTAATTAAAACAAACCCTAAATATTAATAACAAATTAATTATTCTAAATTACATTATTAAAATAGTAAACACTACTCATCAATGACTAATTATTATGTCAAATATGTAAATATAATTAATTACACATGAACATAAAAAATTAAATATTATTTAAAATATCTATATATTATTAATTATACATGCCTATGTTATTAGGATAACATAAAATAATTAATTTAAAAAATTATAACAACTATTTCTAATTAAAAGAAACCCTAAATATTTACAAATTAATTATTTTAAATCACATTATTAAAATAGTAAACACTACTTTTCAATGACTAATTATTATGACAACTATATAAATATAATTAATTGCACATGCTTGTGTAAGTAAAAAAAACTAGTGTATTCTAAATATTATGTCAAATATCTAAAATAATAAAAAAATTAAATGATTTAAATTAATTAATAAAATGAAAATCATGTTAACTTGCCTTACAACTTTTTTGCTTTGGAAGAGCTTCAGTGCTTCACTTTGCTTTTGCTACAACCAACCATATGCTCTGCAAATGAAAAAAAAAACAAAGTAGAAGAGAATGCTGCAAATGAAAAAAGACAGAGATAGAAGAATGAAATAGATTTGAAATTTTAGCTATACTAGTGAAATCGAGATACACAGAGGTAAAAAATATGATAATGTGGGGCTCGGAATGCTGGGGTTGTGCCACTTGGCATGCCGTCCGAGTTCTGGGGGGTGACACTCAAAAAAACTGGGGTTATGCCACTTGGCATGTCGTCGGGTTATTCCACTTGGCACGTCGTCCGAGTTTCCCGGGAAGGCGACATTCAAAAAATAAAAAAATTTAAATGAGTGTCATGGAGGGAGAGGATGGCCAACACTTAAGATATATATATATATATATATATATATATATATATATATATATATATATGCCGTGGGGGAAGGGGGCGGCACTGGTTTCAGAAAAAAAAAAATTCACATGAGTGACACGGGAAGATGGGGGCGTCATTTAGAGTCGCTGGTCCCTCTTACGGCACTTAAAATCCCCAAATAGTAATATCTCCCAACCAAATATCAAATTGATACATTTAAACGGAAAAGCTCCAAACTGGTGAAAGAGCCATGTGTTTTTAAATTACGAATCATATCAGGGGATATGCTCACCAGAACTGCACAAGTCACCAACTCAACATAATGCGCAACTGCATTATGTTGTAATTACAAATCGCTGGCTGCAATTAACATGCAATGACAGTAATGTAATTGCAACTACAAAAGTACAAACACAATTTACTTAATATATATTTCTCTCGATCGGGATGCATGTTATATCTGCTAGAATATTACGTAAAAAAGACATAAGAAAGAACCATCGATGCAATGAATAAGCATCGCATTCTTCGAATTGACCATATACAATTTTTTGACAACAACTAATTCCCTTCCCCCTTGATAGAAAAATCTCAGCATTTAAAACAATTTAACCTATAAACCATATAATCTCTAGAACATAATCATGTTAATTACATGAACCAAATGATAAAAAAAAAATGTTTCAAGGGATGCTATCCATTCTCCATTACAAAGGGGACCCTTTCTAATTGTACTTATAATACATCCTTAATCTTAATTTGTTCCCACAATACCTGAACCAACCGAGATTAATTTTTGTACACTCCAAGTAATACTAGAAACATCAAACTTCAATTTTTTTTTTTTTTTGTCTTTGAAGGAATTACCCTATGGTCTCCAATATGTCCAATAAATCCCGGGCTTCACAAGAATCCCCCAAACTATTCATCAAAGTTGTCAACACATAATGGACATTATTCTAATACAGTAAAACCTCTCTCTCACTCTGAATTCAGGAACATGAAATTGGGCCACCTGGGAAAGGTCGAATCTAGACCTTATCTGTTAAATCAAACCCACCTAAATTATAGCCCACACCACACCAACCTTAAACTCACTAGACACTCACTCACTCACAAAGTCCTCATCCTCTACTCGAATCTTCACTCTTCACTCTCTTAGACACTATCGTTACTTTGTTGTCTTCTCTCAAAAACACAACACTTGCTAGTTCCTACTAAACTACAATTACAAACAACCCTCTTTTTTCTTTTCCTTCTATTTCCTCTCTCTCTCTCTCTCTCAGACACGACACTTTCGGAGAGAATAAGAATAAAAATGCAGCAACAACAATACTTGGACGACTCTGACTCTGATCCTCAGCTCCCCCAAATCAAAATCCACCACCCTTCCGCCTCACCCTCCGCCGCCACCCCAACTCCAACTGCCGGGGCCCGCCGCAAAATCGGCGTCGCCGTTGACCTCTCCGACGAGAGTGCCTATGCTGTCAGGTGGGCCGTCCACCACTACATCCGCCCCGGCGACGCCGTCGTGCTTCTCCACGTCAGCCCTACCGAGGTCCTCTTCGGCGCCGACTGGGGCTCCGTCGACCTCTCCATCAACACCGACGATGACTCCGCCGCATCCGCAGCCGCGAACAGCCACAAGATCACGACGGCGAAGCTGGAGGAAGATTTCGACGCGTTCACGGCGTCGAAGGTCGGCGATCTCGCGAAGCCACTCCGGGAAGCGCAGATTCCGTACAAGATCCACATTGTGAAGGACCACGACATGAAGGAGCGCCTCTGCCTCGAGGTGGAGAGGCTCGGCCTCAGCGCCGTCATCATGGGAAGCCGCGGCTTCGGTGCCCTCCGCCGCGGCAGCGACGGAAGGCTCGGCAGCGTCAGCGACTACTGCGTCCACCACTGCGTTTGCCCCGTCGTCGTCGTTCGCTACCCCGACGATAAGGACGGCGAAATCGGCGGCGGCGCCACCGCGGTGAAGGAAGAGGAAGAGGCGGTTATCAAAACGGCGCCGCATGAACATAAAAAAGGTTTGGGGGTTTGGTCAATTCTTATGAATTGTGCAAATGATTTTTTTAAATTAATTCGAAGCTTTTAAGGTTATTTTTTTGTTAGTATGAGTTTTAGGGTTACTATTATTGGATAGAAGCTTTTTTCTGTTATAATTGTTTGAGATTATTAATCTGAATGAATCCACACCCTGCATCATGAACCAAGCTTGAATGTCATGTTGTGTCATTAAGATATTGATTTTGAAGTTGTGTATCAGAGCATTAATTGTTAAGGCATGTGATGGGAATTGCGTTTGATTGATAATATTATTGTTGTTGCAAATGCATGGAAATCATTCATGAATTTGCTGAACTGAGTAGTGTATCTTTAGTGTGTACTGTGATGCCATAATCATAAAAGCTATGCTTACAACTCCAAACTTTGAATTATGTTAAAAGTGTTATACTGTGCACAAGTACCCTGCACCATGGTAAAACTTGAATTAGATGACACTGTTTTTTCCTAAAGCTTGACTTAGGTAAGAAAGTTGCCTTATATGACACAGAACTACCCCTTGTTTATTGTCAGTGTAAATCTTAGGGCTTATAAGCAATTGTATGTGTTTACTTTGGCTAACCACTGACAGTTTTTTAGCTTCTCAGATCCCATCTATGTATACGTCCTTGACCAACTAGGTTTGGTGTTGCAATGTTGTACTTTTTGATTCAGACATTAAAGTGAGATTGAACTGGATTTCTAAAGTAAGATTTGTTTTGGTTGGGGGGGAAGGGGGGATCAGGATTTTTCTCAATTTCAGCTGGGAGTCCATGAAAACCAATGTGATTATCATTAATTGAAGTCTTGTTTCCCATTTTCTTTGGCATTGCATAGCTTTTCAATGAATGTAAACACCGAATGTGATGATCTCTGCCCCCAGAATGTTAAATGCATAACTCAATATGCTCCTGTATTTTGTTTTTGTCGTGCATATTCATTAAGTCAACTTTGGATGTAGATGAAAAATAATAGATATTCGTGTATATTAAGGTAAAATTTTTTTAATCCATTGCTTGGATTGAGTGTTTTATCAATGAATATTCTCTCAAAAAATATGTTTAGACTGTAAATGTGCTATATTTTTCTATACTCCCAGTTTAGTTTATTTTGTTTTTACATATAGTTGTGAAACTGAAATTTGACTTCCTAATTGTTGATTTGTTTGGGGCAGAGGATTAGTTGGAGTCAACTCACTGCTTGATCCTGTATTTTGAGGTGTGTGCTTAAACATTTTTGTATTCTCTCTTTTATTGTTCCTGCTATGTGTATTTAGTATTTACATGTTAAGTAAAAGATGTTTTCTTACTTATCGTCTTGTGCTCTATATCATTGGGTTTGGGACAGTAGGCACTGGTTTGCAGCTTATATTCCTCTTGTTTCCGTATGTACTCATTTATATATGTCAGATGTAACAAAAGTTGATTTTGCATGTCTTCTATCGTATTTCTTCTTAGGTTGCATTTATCTTGATTCATGAGTTTTGACACCCCATTTTTGGTGTTTGTTCCATTGCAGAATGTATCTGACCCAAAAGGAATTCAGGAAACTGTTGTAGAGTGCTCTCTTTCTTTTCATGTCACGTTGTACTTAGAGCATTTCTTGCATTATGAACTCTGGAAGGATTAAGCATGATTTTGTATGGCTTGATGTGATCTCGGTTCGTGTAGGTTGTTGGGAAATTGTCTTTTCTTTCGTGATGGTATGGTACATACTCTTTGATGTAGATGTACGAGTTTGCCTTTCCACTGTTTTAAGGGTTTATGTCCCCATTTGTATGTGGGAGATCACATTATCATAATGAGCACCCATATTTAGCTAGATTATTTCATATAATTATGTTGACAAAACTATTTAGTTCATTATTTCTATTTGGTTGATAATATTATTGTGTATTAAATAAAATATTGTATATGCTTAACTAATCATTAATTGTGACATGAAATAGATTGATTTTAAATTTAATAAAGAAAATAAATGTAAGACCAATTATATTTGAATAGCCATTGATAATCTCATCCTGATCTACTAGTATTCAACCACCCCACTCTGCATTGGAAGAGGGGGTGCTGGTTTTGGATCAATTCATACCAATAAGCCCCGGATAATCATGCCTCCCTCGTCTAAAACATTAGACTTAGCTTAATCACTTACAAAGTCAATTATTTTAACTTATCTTTCTTAATTTAACTTTTATTATAAACATATTTTTTAATTTTTATGATATGATAGATTGATTTTAAAATTATGGTTAGTGATCATATAAAATTATTATTATTATTATTATTATTATTTTAAGTACAGTGGAGGTGGGTGTGGGTTAAAAGGTCAATATGTCATGTCTCCCTTCACACCCCTCGTCTGTATAAAAGATCATGCTTAATTTTTATTTTATTTTTTTGGTAACACATCAAGCTTAACTTAATTGTGAATGAAGTCGATTATAAACATATCTTTTTAGTTAATATGAAATAATAGATTAATTTTAAAATGGTAATTAACAATTACATAAAATTAATTGAAAAACTTGTGTGAGAGGGAGAGATAAGATGTGAGTTTTAATATTTTTCTCAAGTGGCGAGTTTATTTTTTTCATTACTAAAATGGAAGCAGAATAGAGTTGAGATATGGTTAAATCTTTTCTTGTTAATGATAAATTAAACTCACGTGCGACAATACAAACTAAAGCATGCTGATACTCATTACGATTTTAAAAGAGGTGTACAATATTGATGACTTAGTGAATATTAATATGCAAGGAGCGCCAGCAGGAGAACTTGCCATGAAGAGAAATCAGGAAAATTGAAGTGGCTTTTCGTATATATAATCTAAAATACAAGCATAATTCATTATCAATTTTTTTTTTTTTTCAAATTGCAGTCATTTACAAAACCAAAAATAAAAAAATAAAACTTAGGGTTCGCTTTTTCTGCAGTTACTGCGGATAAATTATCTGCAGTAAGCCCAATACGACGTCGTTTTGGAGCGAAAATCATGGTATTTTTGTAATTTTAATCTATTTCAGGGTTATAATACTCTTTAAATTTATAATATTTTAAGATTTCAATATTAAAACTACGTCGTTTTGGAAATAAATGCAGATAATTTATCTGCGTGCAGAAATATTTTTCCCTAAAACTTAAACATATGTCCAACATGTCAAATGATACCAAAAATGTTTTGTGAAGAATGTTTAATTTTTTATTTTTATTTTTTTGGTATAATGACCATAAAGTTCACCGCCCTTGCTCAAAGATATAATTATTGGAAATTGAACCGAGGTTCTTTCTCCACTCTAGCCTGTGTTCTCAACTGAGCTACACTCATTGAGTGAAGAATATTTAATTTTGGATCCGAATTACATGGATAATAATGTTTTGTCTTCACTTTTAAATCAGTTTTCTGGCTTGTTGCTTCCATTATGTTTGCTATGATCAAAGAAACGGACCATGTTCATTTCTAATCACTTTTTCCCAGCCAAATTCCCTCTGTTGGGCCAGTCCAAAATGTTAGGGACGTATATAGTCATTGGCTTATTTTAATACCACTTGTTTGGTTGAGATATGTAACCCTAAAGTTGGCAAAAAAAACCACATCTTTAGGTTTAACATCAAATCTTAATCTTTTTTTTTTCGGTGGAACAGATCTTAATCTTTAATATATTTACGAGTCAATTCGCTTAATATGATTTTGCAATTCGTCCAATTCTTTTGTATGTATGTTTTTTTTCTCACTCGCACACAATCCCTTCACAATTAAATTTCTCGTACATTTTTCGTTTGCTTTTGATTTACTCTGTCAGTATCATATAGCTAATATTTACAGAGAATCAAAGCCCTTCAATGATGGTTTTTTTTTAGTAAATCATCAAAAACGGTTATTGCTATGCCAAATTCCAATTTGGAGAACGAATCCCGATCATTGAAGAGCTTGGAGTCAATAAATTATGAAGACAATCTAGAAACAACCTCATCTCTAACATTATCTAATTTTCCCATTGCATTAATGCAGGTTCAACTATGATTTCTTTCAAGATCAAAGTGAATTTTTTTGAAGAAAAATATAACTATTATAGTTTTGAAGGATGAAAAGAAATAGAATTATAAACCTAAATATTATAATCATAATAGTATATCTTATAATCAAGCATGTTTATATTAGTTGAGTAAAAATAAAATTATAAGATTAAATAAATTTGTAGTAAAACGTGTAAGAAATACCATTACTAATTAAGAATACCACAACATTTTGAACTAAGTTAATTTTTTCAATAAAAATATTATTGATTAAATATAAAATATAAAGTTTCAAAAATTTGGGTGTGGCCATTGGCCCCTCAAATGACACTAGGATTTTATATATATTAATAATATATTAATAATGTTGGATATATTAATAATATAGTCTAATAATATAGGAAAAAATGTGTGTCATTTTAAATGACACACATTATATCCTTTCACTTTCACAAAGAGGTGTGACCCACATATTTAAAAAAATTTCCCTCCTCTCTCTCATGATTTATCTTTTTCTCTCACTTAAAATGACATAACTTTGTGTCCTTTAAGGCTCGTTTGGTGGACAGGATAGGATAAGGGTATGATATAATATGAGGCTGATAAGGGTAGGATATGATACGGAGCTGATAAGCCTATATCATGTCCTGTGTTTGATGAGCACCTGATTAGCAATTTGATAAGATTATGTAGAAGGAGAAAGGAAAAACAAAAAATAAAATATAATGCAATAAATATAAATATATTGAATAGCGTGGGGATATATTGGGTAGCGTGCGGAAATATTGAGTATCCAATATTGGTATCCTATCATATTGAATCCTAACACAGCTCCCCCAATAGGATAAGAAATCATGTATTTGATAGGATAAAGTGAGACAATAGGATAAACTTATCCTATTGACCCATCAAACAAGAGATAAAAGTAGGATATGATAAGTTATCATATCCTATCTTCTTTATCAGGTGCTCCGAACAAGCTTTAAAATGATACACGTTTTTTCAAATAATATATTCACATATATGTTCAATAAGTAAGAGTATGGGTATTTGGGTCCATATGGGCTAGAGCTCAATATCTTGCATTATTTTTAGGGTTTTCTAAATTTGAAGTATTACACCAAGAGACATCAAATTTGAAATACTCAACAATATTACCTCCAATTTATGATACCTTAGAGATAATGTAAGTTATTGGGCTCCAACCATATGGATCCAAATAATTATGCTCTAATTTATTGAGCTTTTATATAAACATATTATTGGACTATATTATTAATATATCCAACACCCAACACTTATAAAGAGTTGACAATTAAATTAGGCTAAAATACAACTTACATCCATGAACATTGGTCATGTTTCAAATTACCATCTTATGCTTTCCATTGTTGTTTCAAGTAACCCCCTTATAATATCTATTATGAATGATGTGACATTGATTAAGTGAAAGAAAAAATATAAAAAAGTTAAAACTTTATATCAAACTTACGAATTATTGTAATAATATACAGGTTTTTATTTTTCTCTTTTCACATAAGAAAAGAAATTTTTCTACACACACATGTTTAAGGTAGGTCCCACCATTAAAAAAAATAAAAAAAAAATAAAGCACACATATCGATGTATTTCCCTTAATATATATTTAACATTTTCATAAAAGAAGAAGGTTATATTTATAAATTTTTTATTTACAAACTCTTACAAATTACACTATGTCTGACCGGTCATATACTCTCGATTGAAGTCTGACTAGTCATACTTAGTATAGTTTGTAAATTTTTTTTTTTTGTAAATATAACCTTCCCCTGATGCGACATTGATTAAGTGAAAGAAAAAATATAAAAAAGTTAAAACTTTGTAACAAATTTACGAATTATTATAATAATATATATTTAACATTTTCATAAAAGAATAAGGTTATATTTACAAACTTTTTATTTACAAACTCTTACAAACTACACTATGTCTGACCGGTTATATACTCTTGATTGAAGTCTGACTAGTCATACTTAGTATAATTTGTAAGAATTTTTTTTTGTAAATATAACCTTCCCCTGATGCGACATTGATTAAGTGAAAGAAAAAATATAAAAAGTTAAAACTTTGTAACAAATTTATGAATTATTGTAATAATATATATTTAACATTTTCATAAAAGAAGAAAGTTATATTTACAAACTTTTTATTTACAAACTCTTACAAACTACATTATGTTTGACCGGTTATATACTCTCGATTGAAGTCTGACTAGTCATACTTAGTATAGTTTGTAAGGAATTTTTTTTGTAAATATAACCTTCTCCTGATGCGACATTGATTAAGTGAAAGAAAAAATATAAAAATGTTTAAACTTTGTAACAAATTTACGAATTATTGTAATAAAATATATTTAACATTTTCATAAAAGAAGAAGGTTATATTTGCAAACTTTTTATTTACACACTCTTACAAACTACACTATGTCTGACCGGTTATATATTCTTGATTGAAGTTTGACTAGTTATACTTAGTATAGTTTGTAAGTTTGTAAGAAATTTTTTTTGTAAATATAACCTTCCCTTGATACGACATTGATTAAGTGAAAGAAAAAATATAAAAAAGTTAAAACTTTGTAACAAATTTATGAAATATTGTAATAATATATATTTAACATTTTCATAAAAGAAAAAAGTTATATTTACAAACTTTTTATTTACAAACTACACTACGTTTGACCGGTTATATACTCTCGATTGAAGTCTGACTAGTCATACTTAGTATAGTTTGTACGGAATTTTTCTATAAATATAACCTTCTCCCGATGCGACATTGATTAAGTGAAAGAAAAAATATAAAAAAGTTAAAACTTTGTAACAAATTTATGAATTATTGTAATAATATATGTTTAACATTTTCATAAAAGAAGAATGTTGTATTTACAAACTTATTATTTATAAACTCTTACAAACTACATTAATCTGACCGATCATATACTCTTGATTGAAGTCTGACTAGTCATATTTAGTATAGTTTGTAACTGTGTAAGAAAAAAAGTTCGTAAATATAACCTTTCGTTTTATAAAATATTTTAATATACTTGCATTGGGATTGATGTATTATCATAAATTGTTTTCTTGCTTTAAGGTGCAAAGTCAATATCAGAAGCAAATAAAACGTGTTTGAGTTTCCTTATAGCTCTGCTTAAAATCAGACACAAAACGACAGGAGTACATAGCTAGTTATGACTATGCTCGCCAAACAATGACTTTCATATTTGCAGGTTGGTCCAACTTCGTTTCTTTCTGAAGTACCCCATTAGCTGTGAAGAATGGTATGCGGAAATTTTAAGTAACGAGGACGATGTCCAAGGACAATATCTATTTATTAGTAAAAGAAAAAAGACAGCGTGATGTAGAATTATTCATTTATTTATATGATGGAGAAAAACAAATGTAAAAGTGATATAATATACATAAAATTTAATTTTATTATCATTAACATTTTTAAAATTGACGTGGGGCATATGCCTCCGCATTGCTAAATGAAGGTTCATGATGACTCCTCAATTTCTCAATACCCAAAATCAATGAGGTATAGAGAAATAAAAATAATAATAAATAGTAAGTGATCAATTGATGTCAGAGTAATTTTTTTTTTCTCAAGATCCATTTTAATCACTTAGAAAAAAAATTCGACTTGTGATTCTTAGAAATTCAAAATAGATCCAATTAATTAAAGTCATGATCTCTCAGAAATTCAAAGAAGACTCATGTTAGTCTCTCAAAAGGACTAACATGGGTCTATTTTGAATTTCAGAGGGACCACAAGTCAATTTTTCTCTATCTTAAGAGATTAAATTGGGTTCCGTATTTTTTCTTTGAAGACGAAAAAGAGTATTTACTCTTGATGTTACAGATTGATGGATCCGAGTGGATCAGGAATGTTTAACTAGAGGTTAGTATGGATTACTACGCTCGCGAAAGTCTATGAAAGAGTCACTACAAGAGTTAATAGATCATTGTGCACAATAATAATGGTGTATAGCCAAATGCAGGGTATGTGCACAATGATAACTAAAAAAGTAAGGAGTTCATAGTGTGTATTTGATAAGCTTAACTCTTTATTTATAGAAAAGATTATTTGTAGGTGTAGAATCTTGATAGGAGTAAGATTGTTGGGGATATGATAAGTAATTTTATTACTTATTCCATATGTATAGGATAGGGCCTACCCTTATCTCTCTAGCTTGTCACTTATCTTTAGTGTTAACATTACAAAAAAACATGTCATTTAGCCACCTAAATCGTGGCAAACATTTGTAAGAAAAACATGGCTAAATCAACCACAGTTTTGAAGAGCGTGGTGAATCCTGGCATCGTATTAGTTTAGCCACGTTTTTTTTCTCACTTGGCTACAGGTGTTCGGTGCAAGTGGCTAGTGTTTGCCACATTTTAACTATGATTTCAATGTACTTAGCCACATTTATAACAGTGGCTAGTGTTATTTCTTTTACAGATTTCTGCTACCTCCAGTTGGAAAAAATGTTCGGTGCATTAATTTATCATATGATGTGTAGGCAGATCTTGTGCAAATTTTTATAATCCCAGGATCCACCTGCGTAACCTAAGATAAATGAACTACGCGGTTGTGTTGAAGTTTGTTCAGTTGAAAATAAAAAATAGTACTATACAGAATATTGAAACATTTCCTCTCATCCCCCAAAAAAATGCTTAACACGACAAAAAACAGTTGAACACCATAAAGAAAATAAAGAATATTGAACAAAATAATACTTTTCAAATCACAAGCTTTTACCAAGAAATAAGGAAAGAGTTAAATTAACTTTGAGTTGATACAAAACTACACCATTGGAAAACTCCCAATTCCTAAAAACATAATATATAGAAAAACCCGCAAATACAAAGAACATGTAACCCTAGGAAAATATGTTACTTGTTCAAGCATAAGTTGACTATTAATTGATATCATCAATCAAACAGAGAAGGAACCCAGTTCAAGGCATAATCATAGCTTATCAGTTAGCACTATACTTGTTTAGAGATATATAAAATCATTAAAAAGGCTCTCAGCCAACACCTTAACCTTTTAGGTTGAATTGGTTATGTACATAGTATTAGAGTCTAACGAGAGGAGTCCTGATCCTTTTTTTTCGGTGAATCATTGTTCATCGTCTTTTTCAATTTTTTTGGATATTGTCTCCTTGTCAGTTTCTGGAGATCTCTTTTGTTCTTGGATCATCTGTGCGTCGTTTTCGAACCATTTTTCTTCGCGAACAATCTTCAGAAAACCTTGACCGTCACTCCTTCGCCATTGACCACCACCGTCTGGTAGCTTTTTCCAGCGAGCCACCTACCGTTGTGCTTGTCTCGACCGTGCGATGCTGTCTATCCAGGTCTCATCCCCAGAAAGTCTCTCACGAGCCCTCACGGGCGTGTCAAACCTTCGCGCGTTGTAATTCATTTGCTGACTCGTGGCGACGTGTGGCAACTCCTTTCCGGCAGGGATCGGTTAGGTTTTTCTCCCCTCTCTGATACAGATTCATTCAATGTTCTTTTTGTCTCTTGTTATTCTACATGGTATCAGAATCTCGTGTTCCGAGTTCGATCCTCGCCGTCCCCTATTTTCTTTATGTAATTTCTACAAGTAGATGTATCATCCACCTTTCAAGCCTAATTGACTCTCTTATGAATGAGCATGTTAAAGATATATAAAACCATTAAAAAGGGCCTCACCTAACAATTTAAGTTTTTGAGTTGAATTTGTTCTTTACAATACTGAAAATAAATAACAAATTAAAACAATTTCTTATGGGAAGACAAGATGTTAGAACTTCATAAATGTAAGCATGAAGTATTAGGCGGCATGTATTTAAGCAACCACTCAGATTTAATGAAAAATAAAGTTGAGCGCATACGCATAAGTCATTACACACTAAGAAGAAGCAAACATAGACTTCATGACTTAAGGGCACTTACAATGTAGATAATAAAATGGACTATTATACACTAAGAAGATAATATTGTTGTCAAGTATTGAAGTTTAAGAATTGATTCACACATCCAACCAAAAAGTAAGCAAAATACCACCAATGCCAACTGATATCCATCAATTAGGAAGCCTTGTTAATTAGATCTGCAGTTTAATTAGGAAGCCATGTTATTTGAATAAAATTAGGAAACTAGGAAAGTTTATTCTTTCATGATCATTATAAATAGGTAGGACTAGATCAAAAGGTATGGATGATTGACTCATTCCATACTAGAAAGAATCGAAGGAAATCTTTTGATAACACGGATTCCTATTTCTCAATGATATCCCACGATCAAGACAATTGGCTGAATCCCGTGAAACCATTTCATAGAAGTTCATTGATATCCTCTTTTTATAAAGCAAATCGACTTCGATTCTTGAATAATCGATATCACTTCTTCTATTGTAACAACAAATTACCTTTTTATGTGGATTATGTGGAAAAGGCCTGTATCAATAATTATGATTTTACGTGTGGACAATTCCTCAATATCTTATTCATTCGCAACAACATTTTTTTCTTTGTGTGACGGTAAAAAAAAACATGCTTTTTTGGAGAGAGGTACTATTTCACCAATCGAGTCACAGGTATCTAACATATTGATACCTAACGATTTTTCGCAAAGTGGTGACGAAGGGTATAACTTGTACAAATATTTCCATTTTCCAATTCGATCCGATCCATTCGTTCGTAGAGCTATTTACTCGATCGCAGACATTTCTGGAACACCTCTAACAGAGGGACAAAGAGTCCATTTTGAAAGAACTTATTGTACAAAATGTACTTCTAAGTAATTGCTCTATAGATCCTATATCTATTTATATGAAGAAGAAATCCTGTAACGGGGGGGATTCTTATTTGTACAAGTGGTACTTCGAACTTGGAACGAGCATGAATAAATTAACGATACTTCTTTATCTTTTGAGTTGTTCTGCCGGATCGGTCGCTCAAGACCTTTGGTCTCTACCCCGACCTGATGAAAAAAATGGGATCATTTCTTATGGGCTCATTGAGAATGATTTTGATCTAGTTCATGGCCTATTAGAAGTAGAGGGCGCTCTGGTGGGATCCTTACGGACAGAAAAAGATTGCAGTCAATTTGCTAATGATCGAGTGACATTGCTTCTTCGGCTCGAACCAAGGAATCCCTTAAATACGATTCAAAATGGATCTTGTTCTATCGTTGATCAAAGATTTCTCTATGAAAAATATGAATCGGAGTTTGAAGAAGGGGAAGGAGTCCTCGACCCCCAACAGATAGAGGAGGATTTATTCAATCACATAGTTTGGGCTCCTAGAATATGGCGCCCTTGGGGCTTTCTATTTGATTGTATCGAAAGGCCCAATGAATTGGGATTTCCCTATTGGGCCGGGTCATTTCGGGGCAAGCAGATCATTTATGATGAAGAGGATGAGCTTCAAGAGAATGATTCGGAGTTCTTGCAGGGTGGAACCGTGCAGTACCAGACACGAGATAGATCTTCCAAAGAACAAGGCTTTTTTGGAATAAGTCAATTCATTTGGGAACCCTCGGATCCACTCTTTTTCCTATTCAAAGATCAGCCTTTTGTCTCTGTGTTTTCACATTTTCTTAACAAAAGTTGTTTGTTTCAATTCTACTTCTCCTCTATACCTAATCCACTTGCATCATAACCAAATTATATTTGTAAAAAATTTATAGAAGTAACAGATATGCCGAAGCTGTTATTCCACATAAGCACATAAATAAGGAATTTTGGAACAGACCTCCGATAATGGTCATTCCTCTAACAACCCGAAGCTGCAAAACATAAAATTAAAGATTTATACCATCTATGGATAATACCCCAAATTCGTATGGTCATTGATCTGAACATTGATCAAGGGAACCAATAAGATAATATCCAATAAGATAAGGGAAAAACTTTTCTCATGTCACATTAGATAAGTTTTCTCTCTTACACACCATTCGATAACTGTGCTATCTTTTTTTTTCTTTTTTTATTTTTTATTTTTTCAGGTGGTGGAACCCACTAATTTGTCTCTATGACATGAGATAACTATCTCCTTTAACATAAGATTAATAAAACCCATAAGATAATATCGTAGATAACTCATTGTGAGCAAACAAAAAGTTAAGATTACCAAGCAAAAGAGAAAAGGCAATAGCAAAGATGCTTTAGCTCTCATCAGGGTTTTAAAATACTAGCCCCTATATTCTCTAGCACCGAAAAAGTAATTGAACCTCCGTCATTATTTAAAACAAGAGCGGAGTTATATTTATAAAATTTTTATTTATTAATTTTGTACTATTCATAATACATATTATAATCTATAAATAAAAAATTTCTGCTATCATTGCAATGGCAACCCGGAGAAGTAAATCAGAATTGCTTAAGCAAATCAGAGAAAATACGAGAGAATTGCAATATGCGCTTTTTACTACTTTTGAGAGATTTGACTCTTACTCACATGTCCCCCTTCAATTATTTTTTATAATGGGTTTTATAATTCTCATTTAACATGAGAATTGAAATCTTACTACACACTCTTCGATTTTCGTGCTGATATGGGTCCTACACATAATTTTTTCTAACATATGGGTCCCACATATTTTTTATCTCTACAACATGATATTTCAATTCTCATGTTACATGAGAATTATAAAACCCTTTGATAATTGTTGAACTTCTTTTCAATGACCATATACTCATTAATGCGGTGTGTCTGTGGGGTAACATTTTGTGGGCCCACTTAGTTCAAAGTGAAACAGAATAATTGGAGATGAACAATTTTGAGGGAGTGAATAATTTTGCTAGGGGGGAAATTTTTAAAGTACAATCGTGGTATTCTTTTTTTGGTGGGAAGCATCAATCAAAAATGGAAAAAGAATGTGAAAGTGAAATAAAAAAAATAAAATAATAATAATTCAAATGACAAAATTTGAATGAAAGTTGTACCTACAAGTGTAGTACCAAAAGTTTGCTCGCTAAGGGAACCTAATGTTGCGTTGGATATTTAAGAATTTTTTAAGCTTTTGCCACGACATCTCTTAGAGTGGCTAAACCATTGTGCTTAAACGACATTTTTCTTATAATGGTTGCTTCTAGAAGCTATGGACGAACACAGATGTATAAATTTATACTGTTAAATGTATGTGTAATATATAATTACTTAGTTTTTTTTAACAAATTCGCATGGTATTTTTTATCTTATTCATTTGAAATTACACTTTTATTAATATGAAATATTTTGCCCAAGTATAGAATAAAATGAAACCATATTAAACTCTTACGATTTTAAATTTTAACCAAATAAACTAATTTGTTTAAAAGTGTGATATGGGGTACTTGACTTACGGCACATTGAATTTGAATGCAATTAAAAAGCTAGCAGTGACAAGAAAAGAAAACAGAGGGTTAATGTCAATGTCTAATTAATCGGATTTTAACCGATAGAATTTTTTTTTTAAAAAAATTATATATAAAATTAGGTACGTACATGCTTTTATAAGACCATTCACCATTTAACAAAAAAAGGAAAAAACATTAATCAGTAACTATAATTTTATTTTTTTGGTAAACAACTATAAATTAACTTAATTGCGTATTGATTTTTAAACAAATAATGAAATAAACCAGTCATTATATTTCAATTTATTCCATCCACTCCTCTTTTCATATACTCAGTAAACAGATTATGCTAATTTTATGAGTTTTGACATAATAACCATTTGTGTTGCATATAAGTTGTGGATATTTATATTGGTGTTGTTAAATTTTAACAGAACACGAATAGGAATCGCTAACTCGAATTATCATCCTTACATACTATTGAATAAATAATTATTAATTACATTATATAGTTATATTTTAAAATAATTATAAAAGTACCATATAATAAAAAAAAAATTGTTTAACGAGTTAGTAATTTGACAGGAAAATACTGAAAAAAAGAAGAGATGTAGCCTCTAGGTAATTGCCAAGTAATGAATAATTAATTAATTATCAGCACAAAGAGTGGAAGAATTATTAGAAAGATTTACTAACAATCATTGGTTCAAGTGGAATGGAGAAAATAGTTTTGAAAGAGTCCTAGACCAAACAATATTTGAACTAAATTAGTTGGATTAGTTAGATAATCAATAAATTCGTAATTTATATAAAAAAAATAGGTAGATATAAATCATCATGCGCAAGGTGCCAGAGAGACCACATGGCCTGTGTAGGGAATTTCAACGTTTCCTATAAACATCCACACAGATCCTGCACAAAGAGAAAGCGATGAATAGTTAGCTTTTCATGAAGATGCAAAATATCACAAAAGAAGGGCTAGCTCCATAATGATGAAAATCTACCTTCCTTTATTGGATTAAATCAACAAACTAAACTAACTTAATTACTTAATTGAGTTAAACATTCACCTTTGATACATATTCACCCCTTTATAATAAATTTAAGTCTTTATTCAATAAGATAATTCCTTTACATATTTTTTTTCTTTCATAACTATGTGTGTGTCTATATATATATATATATATATATATATATATATATATATATATATATATATATATATATATATATATTTATTGCGTAAAACATAACTATGTATATTTTTTAGCTAATATCACTTGTTTTTCCTTAATTTTTCTCTCTCACTTTTAACCATTTTTTTTTTTATCTAAAATTCTGAACTTCTATAAACAAAACTATATTTTTAATTAACTCTTCAATTAAACAACATTTCTCAATTTAATTAGCATTCATTCAGATTTATGATTTTCATAAATCTGAATGAATGCTAAGAATATGAAGAAAAAAAAAGTTTGCTTAAAATATTATTGGCAAGCTAAATATATAAACAAAAGGAATTGCTATATTGGGGCCTGTACCCTTTTGTCCACCAAAAAAGAAAAGGAATTGCTATATATAATTTTACGAGCATATATAAATAGGGTTTTATAAGAGTTATATTGTAGGAAAATAGATTGTGTAATGTTATAGAGATTCGTTTTACGTACCGTAATTTTCTTTTTTTCTTTTTTCTTCAAAAAGTGTGGGTCCCACAAAATATTGTATGTGTAGGAAAATTTGTTATATCGTGTTAAATGACAAATGCAAACCCCATATAAATATAGAGTTCACTTTTTCTAAAGTGAATGTAGATAGCTTATCTACATTGAGCTCAAAACGACGTCGTTTTGAGGCAGAAATCAAAATATTTTTGTAATTATAGTTTATTTTAGAGTTATAATAGTCTTTTTTATTATAATTTTTTAATTTTCTAATCCAAAACGATGTCATTTGGGAGTGAATGTAGATAACTTATCTACGTTTACTTTAGAAACATTAAAGCCATAAATATGACTATAATTCATTCCGTACATGGGCAAATCAAGTGAAACTTGACTATGATTGTAGATAAATCATAAACAGAAAAACGCGATAATATCGTGGATAATTGTTTTTTATTTAAATATAATTATTCCTATTTATAAATGCTAAAAATATAAGGATTTATCATTTCTTTTTGTCACACGAGTTAAATTTATCTATAATAATTTCAAAACTACATTATTTTAAGAGTTGAGGAAATTAATTAAGGGTATTTTAATAAAATTAATATGACAAAGAAACAAATAAAATTCCTAAATATCATTCATTTATTCTCCCAATCCCTTAAATGACGTAATTTTTAGATTGCCGAAAATAAATTTAGAAACATTTTCCCCAAATTATAAATGGATAAACAATATTATTTTAGTCTAATTTTATTTATTCAGATCTAATTAGTCCTATTTATGAATGTATGCACAATAAAGTGCATGAATTCAGTGGTAGTTTAGAGTTGTAAAATATTACGATTGAAATAAAAATTGAACTATCTCAAACATTGAATATTACTCACCGTGTCACGTTGTTTCATAAATTTATATATTAAATCAAAATATATTTATTTAACAATAATTAATTTTTCGATCATAGTTTCTTTCATTATTCTTCATTTTATTCAAGAATAATATATATTAGGCTATTTTCTTTTTTCAACTTTAAATTTAAATTCTTTTTTGATAAATTATGTTTTTAATGCACAATATATTCACTTCTTTAACAATTAAAAAAATAAAATAAAACAACATTCAAAGCTATTATACACTTTCCCGTATATCCCAATTTCTGGCTTCAGGGTGATAAGATTAATAGTAGCACAGAAACAACATATTGGCGATAACGAAATGAGTACATCAAAAAATGTGTGAACTGAACGTGATTACATACACATGCACAATCTTATTTTTCAACATGATTGATTGAGACAATGACACTCACTACTTGTGTTGCTTCCGGGCTAAGGTTAATGGTTGTCTCATTCTTTGGCTGTTTTATTTATCACATAGCTTGAATGGAATATGTAGTTACGTATATGTACTATTTGACTGGTCCATGATTGTGGTCCTTCTCCTTTTAAGCAAACTCTCTATCTTAATAGATGCGGTTTTTATTATATTCTCTCCTCTTAAAGTTTTATTTATCATCTTCCTCAACCTTGTTACCCGATGACATCATAGATTGATTATGTGACCGCATATATCCAATCCTGCAATATTTTTCAGATTCTCTCTTGCTTAAGAAGACATTATTATGTCATAGCTACATCATTTTTTGGTGCATTGATCCATTTCTAAATTTGGCAGAATATTGCAGCAATCATATTGTAATTCTAGACACTGAGATTCTCTAAAGTACTACGATGTGTTCTTTCTAAATATAGTATGAAATTCATAATTAGTGATGAACAATAAAAAATATATATTTATATAATAAATCATCACAATGATCTTATTACATGTTTAATTCTGCAAAATATATTTCTATTTAAAAAAAACTCAAATCCTGTTTTTTTTTTTCATGTTCCTGAACTTGTTATTTTTCATGAATTTATCACTTTTTTAGTTTTATATTCTAAAAAAAAAAAAAAAACAATCGAATATGTACACGCCAAAAAAATAACTTTCAAGCCAAGAATTATTGTTCTAGTAGCGACTCAGCTGGATCTCAAGATTTGACTTTTCCAAAAAAAATGAATATCATTTTACCAATCGTAATTCTTGGTAAAGATGGAGAAGCTCAAACCTAAAATTGAAGTAAGTGGGCCCTTTAGGCTCTTATAGGGAGTGACTTCGGGTACAACCATTTTTTTCATTCCCATATTGAGACCTTTAATATGAATAAGTTACTTTTCATTTCAACCAATAGTTATTGATAATTATGTTAATTTTTTACACTATCAATAATATTTTAATTTAATCTATGTTACGTAATTTTGTTTATATATAAACAAATAGACCAGCTTAAGTAGTTTGATAAGATTCAAATTTCATATTTTCCAAATAAGCTAGATCAACACAATAAGAATTAATAAGTCGTCCTTCTTGTGATAATTAAAGGAAATTTTCATCCACGATCTTTACACTCTTTATAATTAAAAAGAAATTCCCAAATAAGTTAAGTAACACTTTTATTACTTGAATTATATTAAACATAATATACTCATTTTTACTTATGCATGTAAAGAGTCAGTGCTGTCTTATTTTATGTTATCATTTTTAGTTATGTATTTATATTAGGAAAAAAGTTTCTGATGTTAATTTAGATAATTTTGTCTAATGTTCATCAAAACGACGTCATCAAAATGACGTCATTTTGAAGTTGAAAAATTAAAAAATTAGAATGATAAAGACTATATATTATAACCCTGAAATAAATTAAAATTATAAAGATATCATGATTTCCATCTCAAAACGACGTCGTTTCGATGAACATTAGATAAAGTTATTTAAAGTAACTTTAGAAAAAACAAACCATTTATATTATCACAAAAATTTAAATTTTAATAATAATTATAGAAAAATGATTTTACTCATATTACAATATAAAAAAAAACTATACGATCACGCACCAATTTGGATGAGCTTTTATTTTCGCAAAAGTTGTTTTTTTTAAGAAAAAAACACTTCTTACTATAGAGTTCATTTGAACGTCTGCTTTAAAGAAAAATAAAACAAAAAAAATTTGAAAACCTACTTCTTCTTTTTTGTAAACTAAAAATTTGTTTCTGGCTATCAAAAAAAAATTGTTTCTAAAAAATGCAAAAGTCTAAAGCGGACTTTTTTTTAAGCTAAATATTTTTTAAAAAATGTAAATAATTAGTTTTTATAAAAGTATTTTTAAAATAAACAAGACATAAATTTTTTTTTTTACAAAGTCATCCAAACGGCCCTATGTCCCATCAACATTAAACCTCATTTTCAAATATCACATAACAATAATTGTCTGTATGCAACCGCGACTAGAGGTGGCAAAGCGGGCTGCCCGCCCCGCCCCGCCAAAAGCTCGTCAAAAAGCGGGCTGGCTCGCCCCGCCCCGCCGTTGAAGGTGGGCTAGATATCTCTGCCCGTCCCGCCCCGTTTGGGCGGGCTGCCCACCAAGCCCGTCACATTTTACACTAAAATTATAAATAAAAAAAAATCAGCCCGGGTTGGCTGGCGGGCTTGGCGGGACGGACAACGAGTTTAGAAAACTCAGCCCGCCCACCTCATTTGGCGGGCGGAGCGGGCCGACCCGGCGGGCTCGGCCCATTTTTCCAGCTCTAACCGCGACCATGCCTCGCTTCCCTTTATATTAACTCTGCTTGACACTTTCGAAAAATGCAAGGACAAGTGCACGAAAACTTGAAACGACGTGGCTCCAATGGCTTTATTGAACGTGTTTGATTAACAATCCCGTATATATGTGCTAAGAAGCTTCGCGCTATTTAATTATTAATTTTTAATAGAATTAGCTTATGATCACTTTCACCGCATAAGCTCTAATCCAATGGTTACGGAGGCTTATCATGCAAAACAATTATTTGACTTAAAAGCGAATTTATTAACTGAAACTATATTATTGATTTTATAATATATTTCTCTCTAATAAGGGTTTGTTTTTTCTGCAGTAAGTTAATACGACATCATTTTAAGGTGGAAATTATGGTATTTTTATAATTTTAATTTATTTCAGGATTATAATAGTCTTTATATTTATAATTTTTTAAGATTTCAATACCAAAACGACGTTGTTTTGGAAATAAATACAGATAACTTATCTGCATTAATTGCAAAATATTTTCCCCCTCCAACAATCATCTCAGCAAAACAAATGCAATTATCATTCTTCATTACATTGAAACGAAGAAATAGAAATTACAAAGACTTTTTATTTTTAAAACATTGAATAAAGATTTAAAAGTTACAACAATATATATATATATATATATACACACACATATATATATATATATATATATATGAGCTTATCATTTCTCAAGCTGCTTGAGATAATGTTATCTCCGGCTACTAAATCATAACCGTACAAAAATGGATCAATGGTGATAAAGGAAGAGAGAGAAAAAGGGAATCATAACCATTCAAAGATGAGTCAATTAATATAAGGAAATAAATAAATAAAACGACGTAGTTTTGGGGTGGCCGGAGATAACATTGTCTCAAGCAACTTGAGAAATCTTTTTCCCTATATATATATATAATATATATATATATATATATATATATATATATATATATATATATATTAATCTTCTCTCAAGTCTCTTAGAAGGATGAAATTGTTACGTTATTGAATTATTGATTACAAGAGAAATTATTAGAGAGGAGGTAATTAAGAGAGAGTTAGAGAAGATTTACGATTACATTAACATGGGATCCATACACTGATTATTCCACATTTGAGGTCCATTACTATCCATCAAACATGGACTCAACCTAAACATGAGAATGCAAAATTCCATTTGACTTAGAGCACCATCTCCATCCAAATCACCTTCCATTAACATGTACACGAGCTCGTCGTCCCTCACCTCCAAACCCAGTAAGAAACAGTTCATCTTCAAACTCTCGAACGTGATAAGACCCTTGTTCACATCCATCAACAAACGAAACCCGTTGCAGAGTTCCCCAATAAACCCTTCTGCACCTAAGCGTGCAATCATGGATGGGAAGTAGTCCTCGAAGTCTAAACCATAATCTAATTCCATCGTTGAATTAATGAAATTAAACTTCAAGTAGTTGTGAAGAGGATATTGGTAGCTTGTGATAGAAGGGTATTGCGTGATGAGTGTACTATATATGGTGCAGAAACAGAAGCATCCAACGAAAAAGATAATGAGTGGTAAATTAAATAGTAACATGATATTTGCACAATCAATCAAATTAAATGATTTACAAAAATGTCACATATTATTATTTAAGTTTTTGAATTTTTTTTATATTAATTACTATATATATATATATATATGTTTACTGTATCAATCATAATTATCTGTTTTTGAAATGGGTGGGGCCCTCGTATATCTCCATAAACTTTAATTCTTTGAGGCGACTGAATTAATTCCAAATCGAAACTTAATCACAATTAAAACTAAAATGTTTCTGCAGTTGCAGATAAATTATCTGCATTTATTTTCAAAACGACGTCGTTTTGATATTGAAATCTTGAAAAATTATAAATATAAAGACTATTATAACCCTGAAATAAATTAAAATTACATAAACATTATGATTTCTGTTCCAAAACGACGTCGTATTAGACTTGCTGCAGATAACTTATCTGCAGTAACTGCAGAAAAAGCGAACCCTAAAATTTTTCATCTTTTTCCAAAATGAATTTGATAGGAATTAAATTATTTGTCGTCGCTCAATTAAATATGACGTTTATGTTTTTGTAGCGATGCAACTTCTGCTTTCGTTTTCACTGGGTTATTGTGGAGCCTTCTCTTTCGTGGAAGTTGCGCTATCTCTTTTGTACTCGTCACCTATAAGTACGCATTATCGTGCTAATTTAACTTTTTTTTATAACTTTTCTATGAGCAGTTCAGTACTATTTACTAGTTAGTATGTATTTATTTAATGAGAAGGTTCCACATTGTGTTTTCTTTGATGTGACTATGCACGTGTTTATTGAACATATGCAAATTTATTACCACGATTTATGAGAAGGAAAAATCAAGAAGGAGAAACTTTTTTTAATTTAGGTATTTCCTAACTCATAGTTAAAGACATATCTTTTTGAGATATAGAGATTCATGAAATAAATTTTTCCTTTATTAATAAAGTATTTTCCGTACACACAGTCATGAATCGAATTTTTGTAAGTATATTTAAGAAACTCAGCTATCTATCAGCTAGATCGGACTTTATTGATAACAACGTTTTCTGCTTTTATATATGTGTACTGTTAAAAAAATACATACAACAAAAACACATATATATAAGAGTAATGCTATACACATATAAATGGGACAATCTTGCCACTTTTTTGGCAAAAATTTACCGAATTGCAACGTCAAGAAATTTTTTTGCCTGAATACTACATCACCAAACCCGCTGCACTGTGCAGAGAGATTACATGGCACCATGTCAGCAAGTTTAAGGCCATGTAATCTCGCTGCACAGTGCAACAAGATTACGTGAGAGAGCCTAATTCGCTGTATTGTGCAACATTTTATGCGGCGCCAATAACAATTTAACATGTGGATTAAAAGGACGAATAAATGCTGATTTATTTTTTATTTTCTTTTAGAAAAATATAATAAACAATAGAGACGATATAGTGTCCATGGAAAAACGATAAAGACGAATTAATGTCCAATAAATACTGATTTATTTTTTATTTATTTTTTTGAAAATATAATATACAATAAAGACGATGGAGTGTCCATGATAAAACGATAAAGAAGAATTAATGTCCAATAAATATTGATTTGTTTTTTGTTTCATTTTTAAAAAATATAATACACAATAAAGACAATGAGTGCCCATGGAAAAACGATAAAGACGATTTAATATCCTATAAATGTTGATTTATTTTTTGTTTTCTTTTTGGAAAATATAATACATGATAAAGACGATGGAGTATGCATGGAAAAATGATAAAGATGATTTAATGTCCAATAAATGTTGATTAATTTTTTGTTTTCTTTTTGGAAAATATAATACACAATACAGATGATGGAGTGTCAAATAGAGTATCCATGAGAAAATGATAAAGACGATTTAATGTTGAATAAATGCTGATTTTTTTATTGGTTCTCTCAATTCATGTGTTAAATTGTTACTGGCGTCACATAAAATGTTGTACAATGTAGCGAATTAGGCCCTGTCACGTAATCTCACTACATAATGCAACATAATCTTGTTGTACAGTGCAGTGCAACAAATTTAATGACGTGATATTTTGATAAAAAAATTTCTTAACAATCTAATAAATTTTTGCCAAAAAGTTAGCAAAAGGGTCGTTCTTCCCGTATAATTTCCATATATGCACGTACGTTCATTGAATGCAGCAAATTTTTATCTTTCGTTTTAACGAACATTAGTACATCACTCTATGGAGTCCCGTGCTTCCTACTTCCTAGGACAAGAGAGGAGTGATGTCATGCTAGCTAGACAATACTATCTGTCGCAGTTGCAGCAATTTGGTTGATAATAAAGATTCTCTTTCGAAAAAAAGAAAAAAGAATCTCTTATATTGTTATCCAAAAAAGAAAGAAAAATATTCTCTTATATATTAATTCTCTGCTCACCTAAATATTATCAAATTGAGTACAGTCTGTTACTTGAGGGATTAGTGTACTATGCGTTGATTTTCATCTCAAACGAATCAATATTACTTACTACGGTCTACGAGCAAACTAAAGTGTGTGTGTATTACCAGCTGGTATACATTAATTTGCAACGGAGTCTCAGCTTAAGGGGTAAGATTGGCTCCCTCTCGTTGTCCCTTAAACTGTTATAACTAGAATGGATGGAGATTAATGTTCAAATCTAGACCAGAATATGATCTATCAAACTCTCAGTTAGGAGATAAGTGTTACACATATAATATATAAAATTACTGTTGTAGCCTTTGCTTAAATTTTTTGGGTTGAACATTGATATTTTATATGATATCCAAGTCTATACATTATACCAGCAAACACATGGAACAATTAGTAGTGTTTGTTCCAACCTAAACAGTGATCTTGAATTTAAGTCATAAATATATAATTGTGTTAAAAACTTGATAGGAAGAGATTTATCGTCGACCTTCTGGTGTGTTATCCATGTTTAAGTCTATGCATTATTAATGTTTAAGTCTACTGACTTTTGTGTAATGGAGTGTGTTAAAGATATAATATATAAAATTATGGGTTTCAATTTTTTTTATGTAGTAAGATAAAAAATTTCATGCTATAGACACATCTTGTACATGGCCTACATTTATTAAAAACAAAACGAAAAAAGAAAAAGAAAATATTGCACGAAAATCAAAGAGTCACTATTAAAGAAAACAATTCTCTTTTTTTTTTGAGTTACCCAACCCTAATTATCTCTTTGAGACGAGTTGGCTCCCTCCGGTATCCCCACGAGCTTCGACTCTTTGAGCTGGCTATGGGACTAATCCGTAGTGCGGGGGAACAGTGATAGCTAAAGGTTCAGCCCCCTCCCCAAGAATGCATTCAGCGGGAATCGAACACATATCCAACCCCACTAACTCAGCGCCAAGTTACCAACTGAGCTGCACCCATTGGGTAAGAAAACAATTCTCTTATTATATGAGAAAATATTTTTTTCCTAAAATTATTGATGTAATCTTCACTCAAAATTTAAGTTTTTTAAGTTAAATTAATTTTTTCAAATCAAGCAAATTAATAATATCACATTATATATATATATATATATATATATATATATATATATATATATATATATATTGAACGAATCAAGGGATGAATGATAAAAAAATTATAATATATATGGGGAATCATCAAGAAGTAAAAACTAATGAAGAAGAATAGAAAAATAATAATAGCCACTGTTAATTTTATTTTACGCTTGAGATCTGTTTTGGCTAGCCCAATTGGCTGACCATATGAAAAGCCCATGCCTAAGGACTAGCCAATGACACTCCCTAGAGAGGCAGGTATCAGCCTCATACCTCATCTCCCTTCTTTCCCATATACAGGCAGTCATTGTACACTGACAATAGCTGTCATATATCTTGCACAAGCCAGACAGGTTATGATGGCTAAGGCTGTCCCATTCTCACTTACCCCTTTTCCACACAAGCAAGGTCAAACCTCACCTATAAATACCTCCTTTTTTGTAATAAAATAAATAAATACCTCCTTCCATACATCAAAACACACACATTGTTTTATCACCTTCATGAACTGTTACTCTGTTTATTTGAAGAGTCATTATCGTCGTCAGACACACCCCCATTATTACACTACACCTGAGAAGCTCCGTAGGGGCCTTGGTCTATACCTTTGTCACTAAGAGCACCTTATCTAAATACATATCCAATTCTCTTGATCATCTAATAACTCAAGGCTTTTTTTTTGGATAATTAAAGCTCAAGTTTAATATGAATGTCGTGGAAAATACAAAATTAAATAACAACTAAAAGCATGTTTATTTATTTATTCATATAAATTTTTATCCTTTTAAATGATATAACTTTGTGTCATTTTAAATCATAACCGTTGATTTTCGTCAATCAATGATTATAATTTATTGAGAATTACTAATTAATTAATAAGTTTGACCCAATAAATTATAATTATTGATTGACGAAAATTAACTATTAGAATCTAAAATAACATAAAGTTATATACTTTAAAAGGAAAAACACTTTTTAAAAACACTTTTTACACGTGAAAGTGAAAATACTCTACAACGAGAGGTTGAATTATTTATTAAAAACACTTTTACGGTTTTACCAATATTTTTAAGAATCACATGATTTTCGTGAAAATAAAATCATTTTAAGCACCAACCAAATGTTATTTTCAGGTAAAACTTTATTTTCCTTTAAGGAGTGTTTGGTAGGTGATTTCTGGTGGGATAGCTGGGTAAGTGAGAGTGGGATATCATGTAAACCATGTTTGGTAGACAGTTAATAAAATTAAAACCAGGGAAGCATTTTACCCATGCAAATAAGAGTTGTGTGTAAATGGATGTCAAAAACACTGTTTGCAAAAACCACCTCGGAGGTGATATTTGGGGAAGAATGGGGAAGTGAAAAATTTGGGGCGATGTTGTAGAGTGAAATGCCCCTCATCTCATCTATCAA